AAAACTTCATACAAATGCTACGTTAGCTATGCGTGCCTTACGGCACGTGTTAGCGAATGGAGGGTTGTGTAACATGTAAAGAGTACTGAAAATAGTGCTCGCCATTTACCCTCGTGCGATTCAAAGAAGAACGAATATAGTGGGTCCCTTGGCCGCCACTTCGTAGATCTCAACAATAAAATAACAAAAATATACTGACTTATTTCTCTGAAAGAGGATCCATCAGGTAAAATGTAAAATGTAAAATGTAAAATGTATCAAAAGGTTGAAGATAAAAAGCTTTTACCTCGTCTGCTGCTAAAGAAGTGCATTTGAAAGATGACCTTTGATCCATATACAAAAGCTGAAAAGGAATATAGACAAGAGACATGACATTATAGACATAGGAATATAAACAAGACATGACATTAGGACTTACTATGATGATATCGTGAATGTGAACTAAAAAAGATAAGATAATAAACACTTGCTGAAAGTATGTACATACATGCAACGTAGGTGTTAATATCTAGATCAATAGAACTGCTGCAAGTCTGAATCACGTCGATGACAAGAACGACATGTGTCTCATACCCGCACCAGAACAGGGACCTCTGGGCTCTGCATCATACTGGGAACACATCTGGGACCCCCACACCTGCACCGGCTTCTAGCTGGGCGTGCGGCCAGCGGTGTGCCGTCGACACAGTCGAAAACAGAGCGTCAACCCACCTGTGACAGACGACATCTCCATTAGAGAGAATGACGAGGCCGGTGAGCGACAGGGCTGACACGCCAAACCGGCCCGATCTCCGTGTTTGGAACATCTGTTACGGATTGTCGGCAGACTGCCGACTGCCGAGCCGCATTTGGTCTCCGAGAATCCACTCGACAGGTGCGTGGTGACTGACGAAGAGTTATGCTTGGGTGGTTTTAGCGTATAGTATCTCTTGACAGTATATTGTAGCGTTTTCTGAGATTGGTCATGCAAGTACTGGCCAACACAGCCTACGGCGTCACTTCCCGTATTGTTTCCCCGCGCCTGACTTTGTTGGGAGAGTCAGGTGCATAGATCAGCCCGGCGAGCTCAATGGTATCTGCAGGCAGTCAGACAGAAGCCGTCACCTGCAGTAATTTAGATAGCTGCAGAGCTAAGACAGCTTTCACTTTATCAGCAACCTGCCAGCGTTCCATGAATGAGACTATAGCGCGGAGCTATCTAAGAACGCTAACAGCAGAGTTGGCATTCTTTATTTGCTTTTGTTCAATAACGGAATGAGAAGGCAATTATATCGTTAAGAGTAGGTTGTTTCAAAGGAATTCTGGTGAAAGATGCTGAGGCGCTAAGGTATGCTTTGTCAGCCTTCTTGATACGTTTTAACGTCGCCCCGCATTCTTCGGTGAAAAGTCATGCCCTTTGAAGTGCGCGCTCGAGCTGAGAAGTAACTCAAATGATTTACCTATGCAGAGCTGAAAAACTGATTTCTTCTAAGATCAGGAAAGACGATGTGATGTCATCTATTGACATCAATATATCGAAATGACCTGAATTTAACTAAAAAAAAAACTAGAGGAAAAAGGAAAAATTGAAGTAAACGGCATCAGAAAACAAATGCTTTAAAATTGTAACTTTCCTTCTGCATTTTGAAGACCAATCACCTAATGTTTTTACCAGTTCGTTGTTTTATTACAGAAAGGCTCCCCTAAAACTATACTGACTTACAATGGAAGAGAAGCAACATAAAATGGCGCTTATTCGCCACAGTCTTCCATTTGACGATATCAAGCTATCATGTCTTGGGTAAAATAACGTTAGTTTTGAGGTTTCTGGAGTTGGTAGAATTGCCACAACATTCCTGGTCGAACAATACCTGCTGGTTCAAAAATTCCTCTAATGCTGGCTTGTTTGACTGTACGCATTTTCAAACGATAAGCTCAGATCCACCCCATTTGTCTTTCTCGACACGTGAAGAACGAATCTTCACATTCGTCGTCTCATCTGACAGCTTGCTGCTGTGCCGCATCGCATCGCTGTCCTGCGGGACAGCCTACCCACGCAGTGATCTAGCCGGACCGTGTTGGCTGCTCGCCAGCCAGGCCAGCCGAGCGCAGAGTGTGAGGGCCTGGGCGGAAGGAAGGGGCACTGGCTCAGAATTAGTGGTGTCAATCGGAACTTGAATCTTCGGAATTCCGATTTTGTCCAATGTCCAATTCGGAATTCGGTTGGACAATGACAGCAGGCTTTGGACAACTTTGGACAATCGCTTGCTGCACCTCAACATTTTTATAAAGTTATCGTGTTTAACATTGATTGGCTATTAGAAAGCTCAGCTTTTGATATGATTACCACTTTTGAGCTGGTAACGATACGTTAAAAACAAGTTAAATAACGGTGTTGAGTGTAAACTATTGCGTAGATGTCGGGCATCTTTGGACAAATGGCTGGCTTGGACATTTTTGGACGGACAGTCGACGTCAGTATTGGACATTGGACGGACATTGGACATATGTTTTCTGAAACTGACATCACTACTCAGAATGAGACGCCAAGCCGCCACCGACACCAGCAATCGGCACGTAGCCATTATGGGGACATCCCGCCGGTAAATGTTAATAGTTACGGGAACTAGCCGGAGGCAGTAGCCTAGATAAGCGAGGCCGTTCATTAGGAGAAGATTTATAATGCACAGCTTTCACGACCGGAAGTGTCGCGTCAGTCCAGAATGCTGTTTTGTTCTGATGTCACAGATAGCTGTTAAGGCGAGCTAACAATGACTCTTCATTAGCTATTAGCTCGGAATGAATTTATCATTTCGTTCCAGCAAAATTCTGGCCATTGTTATCGTTGGCTATAGAGCAGGTTGTAACTATTGAGGAGCTGATAGTATGCTGCACTTGAAGTAGGTATGCATGCATTCTATGCAAGACTTATCTGATGGCTCCGAGTCCGTTCCTTTGAGCTCGACTATTTTCTCTACATTGCAAGCGTCTGGACATTAGCAAGTCTTGCCATTTGAGAGTGCACAATCTGGAAACGTCTTTTCAGGCCGTTTTGAGGGCATGAGAAATCATATTTGCCATCGGTTGTCGGCCTCATCACGCTCCAGGGGGCATCGATTTGACGCCGATGTCAGCCTCTACTTTCCAGCGATGATGAAATGCCCCCGCAACTTTTCCCGTCACTTCCAATACATTTGGCACCGATGCAACTTTGAAGAGGTGCAGCGGTCGTGACGTACGACTGAGACACAAATCCAAATGCAATGTCTTAAAGAAATGCATGATACAGCAGCCCGTATTCGGAGCTTCAACATCATGCTGACAGTTTGAAGTTGTTGACTACAAAATTCATGAGGCGTATTATATTTACAAGCAGTTTAATGCTGAAGTGTTAACGATATGTATAGTGAATATCCCTATCAAGTACAAATATGACTGATTTTATTATCTGATGCCCCGCTCCTATGTAAACGTAATTTGAGTAAATCTAAAATGATCTTATTTAAGGTCATAATAAATGCTTCATTTTTTTGTATATTCGAGAGAAATACTTGGAATTTTACGATTTTGTGCTTTCCGTCTTTTTCGCTAGAATATATCTTATTTTTCTGAAAAGCTTTAGGTAATGCTAGAAGAAATGATCCTCAAGTAGCGGCTAACTAGTTGCAACAGCAGGCTCTGCAGCTTGCTTTCCAGAACATTTGATAATTTGCTGCGACCTTGAATACAGGCGAGTAGTCGTTACGAACAGCACCTTATTTGACCATCCCATCCTGAAAGCTAACTCTGACCAAGATTATCTCACCGCTGAACAACAGCCCGCATTCATTTTCAAATTAAGTTCGAAGCGATCTTCTTGAATGGTTTAAATGGATCCTGTCTTTCTGGAAGAGGCTCTACACTACACTGCACTTCGCTCACAAGAGTGCAAGAAGTTGCAAAGCTGAGTAGATTCGTGAATACGTCTGTTTCCAGTGCCGACCTGATTGAAGATCTCTGTAACCGTTAGTTTGGATGGCAACATGGCCAGTGTCGATTACCTCGCTCCAATCTTTCTCTCTCTCTCTCTCTCTCTCTCTCTCTCTCTCTCTCTCTCTCTCTCTCTCTCTCTCTCTCTCTCTCTCTCTCTCTCTCTCTCTCTCTCTCTCTCTCTCTCTCTCACACTCATGCTCACCCACTCCCTCTCTCCATAGTTAGCCTCCATTTCCCCTTGGGTCTTTCCCTCTCTCTCCCTCTCTCCCTTCCCATCCCTCCCTTCTTTCCTCCCTCATTCCTGTTGCGACCAATACTGTGCACCAATGAAGATAAACGAGTCCATGGTAAATGAAACACGCGCAGATCGCCCGCAGACGTTCGCCGAAAGCCATACGCCATAAATTGCGCATACCTGACGGCGATTAGGTTTGCCGAAGAAAAATGGTGCTGCCTAATTGTTGATTGGATGTTATAACTCACGCATGCGTAGCTCTATATAGATATTGTAATGATAGACGATGCATCAATGTACCCGACCTTTCTATTGTTGACTGAGTACACAATAAACCGCCCCAAACAGAGTGCATGTTCATTTCCATTAGCGATGTCTGCTTTCCATCGTTCCCATTTCTTGTCTACATTCGGCTGTGTTCTTACTCGGGCCGTGGTCGTAGTCGGGGTCAATACCATGTCAGCCGGAGGGGGGGGGGACGGGGAGCAGGGGGAGGGGCACCTCGCTCGACGGGGCGCGGGCGCAGGGAGACAGCAACAGGTGCCGAGTGCTGGGCAGACGGCGCCGACACCAGTCGGCCGGCAGACCCGCTGCCGAGAGGTGCCCTGGGAGGTGCTCCGGTTCAGACGGCGGGGCGGCGGGCGCTGCAGAGGCCACGGGACTGTGACCAGACCAGGCTGGATTGCATACCTGTGACCAATTGATAGAGCTTGGAGGGACTTTCCAGCGGTATTGCGGGAAACCAATCGCAATTTTTTCCCGATTTGATTGATAATTCTATCGGTTAACTGAGACTGGAAGTTGATAGCGTAAACAAGTAAAGGGCAAGCGACCATTAATTTGACACTGTTCGTAGCAACAAATTGTCTCGTGAACCATCAGCAATGGCGGGAGAACTGCTTTCTCTAAATGAATCCTTATGGGAAGGAGGCAACTTTACTTCGGACATGTTGGACTCAAACGGCTCAGAGATAAGCGTGGGCAACATCACAATCTACTACTCGGAGAACATCATCAACTCCCTGTCGGTGCAAATCCTGTTTTACATGATCTACTCCATCATCTTCCTGCTGGGCATCACCGGCAACTGTCTGGTGATGTACGCCGTATTCCGCAACAAGGCCATGCAGACGGTGACCAACTACTTCATCCTGAACCTGGCGCTCTCCGACATCCTGCTCTGCGTGCTCTGTGTGCCCTTCACGCCGCTCTACACGTTCCTCCAGCGCTGGATCTTCGGCGCCTTTCTCTGCCACCTGGTCACCTGCACGCAGGGAATCAGCATCTACATCTCCTCGCTGACGCTGACTACCATCGCCATCGACCGGTTCTTTGTCATTATCTACCCGTTCAAGCCCCGGATGCAGCCCTCGACCTGCCTGCTGTTGATCCTGTGCACGTGGATGCTGTCGGTGGGCGCGACCATTCCTTACGCCATCTTCGTAGAGCACACGAAGTACGACAACGAGACGTACGTGTGCCAGGAGAACTTCCCGGGCCAGGTGCGGCTGACGTTCGGCAGCATCACCACCGTGCTGCAGTTCGTCATCCCGTTCTTCATCATTACCAGCACGTACACGCTGATCTCGCTGAAGCTCTCCAGCCGGGCGCGCTGCAAGCCGGGCTCCAAGACGCTGCGAAAGGAGCAGGCCGACCGCGAGCGGAAGCGGCGCACCAACCGGATGCTGATCGCCATGGTGGCCGTGTTCGGCCTCTCCTGGCTGCCGCTCAACCTAATGAACATCCTGGACGACGTGTCCACGAACCTGGGCCTCGGTTGGGCGCGTTGGCCCTACTTCCACCTGCTCTTCTTCGTCACGCACGCCATCGCCATGAGCTCGACCTGCTACAACCCGTTCCTCTACGCCTGGCTCAACGAGAACTTCCGCAAGGAGTTCAAAGACATCCTGCCCTGTTTCGGGCGGCCGGGGCGAGCGGGCACGAACGGCGCGCTGGCGCACAGTCGCGGCGGCGCGGCGCCGCGCCCGTCCGCGGCCTGCGTCACCGAGGACCACGAGTTCAGGAACACGGCTGTGACGCACATGCCGACCTCGGCGGACGAGCTGCTGCTGCAGCCGGTGGAGCCGACCCGGCCGCTGCCGCAGTCGGACAGTCAGCAGACGGCCACCACCACCCTGGTCACCGACCTCTAGGGCACCGCCGCGCCGACCTCTAGGGCATCGCCGCGCCGACCTCGAGGTGAGACGGAACAACGCCGGAGGGGGGGGGTCACGGAATGGAGTTAATGGAGTTGAGCTCTGATCTATCGCAACGCAGAGCAAGTTTCAGACTTTTGTGATGTCTTTATGGACTTGTTTGCTTCAACCTCAGTATCTACACTTCCACGAATCACCTGACATTGTGACTTCACCTTTACTTGACATTATCTGACTTTGACCTGACGTTATCGACACCACTTGTTATTTGGCATGTGCCAATTATTCAAGTGTGTGTGGTTAAGTTTATTTAACATGGAGAAAATGTATGAGAGTTTTGATTACGTAGGATCTGGCAACAAGTCAAGTTCAACGGTCTTTGACGTGCCTTGAGTGGCACGCGCAGCATTAGGCAGATAGCGCGTCTAATTAAACACGATATGGAATGCCCATTATATTTTGCTGTTGCATGCTTTCTTCTTTTGTGAAAAAATCGAGGTACAGACAAATTCTGCACTGGCTTCATATTGGTGCTAAACACACTTAATTGCAACATTCCAGCTAAATTACAAAGGCGCTGGGCCATGTAACACATTTCTGCTCTTCACCGGCGAGATAAAATAATGCATTGCAATAGGGTTGGGACCTATCTGCATGCTCTGTATGTTTTGGTAAAATAAAAAAGCTCAGAATTTTTAATGATTTTATTTAAAATCACTTTGTTAAAAAAATGCCTAGTTAGTTCAGAAATTAATTATTTGTGGCTGAAAACAACTTGCTTCTGATTGGTCGGGCTAATCATGACGTCACATGTAGGTATATAACTGTCTGTATATTTGGCGCAGTTGAGACATACATTTTCTATGTATTTTCCTATGGTAAATCGGAGTGATTGGTCGTGTTTTCAGTGTCTCTTTATTTTGCGCTGGTATTGCGTGGCTAAGAAGTTTTATCAAGAATGGCATATACTAAAATGTTCCTTTAATAATGGAGCTTCAATATCTGTGAGTTTTATTGGCAAGCGAAAACTGATTTCGCTGTTATTTTATCTGGAAATTACTCATTTTTTTAGGTCAATATTCAAAATATTTTACGGGAACAAGTTGGCACTTTTCTTGATTTTTGCACTCAAATCGCGTGCGATTCAACTGTATTGGAACTTGCAAAGAAGCTTGGTGATTAATTAACTGTGTTGTTATGGCACTGTTTGCAAAGCATGGATAATGAAACTCTGCCAAAGACTTAGCTACATAGCAATGCCTCAAGTAATACGCAGGAGGGACAGAATTCAGAGTCCGATCGAGAAGAATCGGTGCAAATGCTACGAAGACCAGGCAGCTCTGATACAATAGCTAGTCGTCTCACTACTCTCACTCCATTAGACCAGCTGATTCCTGACAGCACCGACTCGGATGCAAAGATGGAGCTCATCTTCCAAGCCAGAAACCAGTTCTTTGATGGAAGATGTGATTGTGATGCTGCCTCTGTCTCTGCTTTGTTGGCCACTTTGGACGGGGCGGAGCTCCGCTCCTTGCCTGAGCGGTTATTCGCCTGTCATCCAGAAATAGTTCCTTCGTTTGCTGGCCGTTCCCTGATTAGGTGCAATACGGGGAGCTGTAATCAGGGAAGTAACTTTCCATATGAAAGGGGTGCAGGTGCACCCCCGTCCCCCATCCACTAGAAGTGCACCCCCATAGGCTAAGCGGCGCCCCACACGCCGCCCCACACGATTAGCTCTAGAGCAGATGGCGAGGGTGATTTCCCGGCTACATTCCATCTCGGCGTCGTGATGCTTGTGGGCTTGGAAAGCGTCCAGTCGTATGTAGGGTAGTGTAGGGGTAGGGTTGAGTTCAATAAGGTCCTTACATTTGAAAGCTTTGAACAACCCGCAATCAGCACAACATACCACAAGTTAAATAAAAAACTACCAAACTCCGCCCAACTAATATTAATAAACATTACAGCCAAACTAATGGCCTAAATCAAAATATATCTCAAATCCTAACAGTTATCGCGGGTGATGGCGCCATGAGTTGCTATTATCCAAAACAGATGCAAATAAACATGTTTGTATGTCCTATGTATGTTTGTTTTAAAAACGTTGCAGCGGCGCTGGGAACTGCAGTCTTAGATCTGGGTATGTTTGGCATCTGCAACTCTTCATATACACATTAACCCTATTTCGGACGGGGAGGCCTTTCAGGATTTTCTTGTACAATTGCCAAACGCCGCGAGACATTCAGCTCATATTTGGTGACATTGCGCACATCTCAGCAAAAAAAAAAAAAAAATGCCGGGTCAGGTCAGGTCAGGTAACCAGAGCGGGTTTGTTGACCCCACCTCAGAAAAGTTTGCAAACACGTCAGAGCTTGAGTTTTTCACGAAGTTATTTCCTCTCATCAAGTCTTCAAAACAGTACCTGCAGTATGTGTCGTTTGTATATCTCAGAATTTTTTATCTGTGACCTGAGGTTAGGTCAGAGTCGTAACCTTTACATTGCAAGCCTATGGAAAAGTATTGAAATGCGACCTGTACCTCGAGTAAACGAGTCAAAACCACCCAATTCTTTAAGAATTATGACAAATTATCTTATCTGTAATGATCCAGGTGCCATTTACTGACAGGGACACCGGGGAGGGTTATCTGAGCCGAGATCATGTGAGGTGATACCTACCATACATCAATGCTCACAATACTTACAATATTGACAATTGTAGCAAGGGAATGGAAGGGAGGGGGGGCGTGGTACGCACTGCTGCATCGTTGCGGTTCATCAACCACCGCAGTCCGCTGTCGTTCAGCTGGTTGTAGAAGAACAGAGCTATTTGCTGCTGTAATGAACTCGATAGTAGAGCTGGTAGAACAGGGGAGCTTGAGAGTCTTGGAAAAGATCCCGAGAGAGGTCTAGAGAGAGATCCAGGTAGTGATGAAGATGAGATCCTGAGATAGATGTATGGATCCACCTGGTAGGGATGTAGGTATCCAGATAGAGATCTTGAGATGTAAGTCTAGATCCACCTGAGAGAGAGAGAGATGTAGATCTCCACCTTGCGTACAAATACATCTGATGGAAGATGCTTTTTGATTTAGGCACTTGATGATTCTGTTCATTGTATAGACTATGATGCACGAGATGCTTCTTCACTGCTCGGATTAGGGATGACGGGATCCGATCAGCTGGGTTTGCGGCACAGATGGGCAGGTGAAGGACAGGGCATTCGAAGTCCCGATGACCACTGCCAAACTTATGGGTGGTAATTACATTGATTAATTGAATGTGATCATTCGTCCAGTCACCCATTCCTATATCTCTGGCCTCCCTATTACGAAAATTGCCCACTTAGTTCGTATTAGCGTTGCTAGTTTAATTGCCCTCGAGAATCATTAGCTTGACTGCCCAACCTGAGTTCTGCTTAACTCCTATCGGCCTTATCCTAAGATTTGTCCTTCATCATTCTTACGCTCATCCACACAAAGCATTTGCCCTCCATTCACTCGCCCCAATCGATTTAGCAGCCCCCGAAATTCCCTCCGATAGTGTTAGGTGTCTGGCTGACGACGATCTCCCCGGCGAGATAAATGTCTCTTTCCGAAATCCATATGCATGCTCCGCTAACCGGCGACAAAGATACTTATCGCAGGGCCGTCCAGAATAATTGCACAAATATCCACCCTACTAATTTATGGGATTCACTACACGTCCGATAGACTTATGGTACACACATACACGATTTATATCCGACTTATCTCTCTACCGGGAGAGATTACCTATGCCCTCTTCCGGTCCGCGTGTAACATTCCCGTTCACGACCCAGGGACCACAGTTCATATCCTGGAACTATCCTTAAACCATGGGATTTACTCTTCAAGGCCTTACGTGTCCTGGAGTACATTCTTCCCTCCCCTGAGGCTGTCCAGTACCGATCAAAGTACCTTTACGAAATAAGTATGAGGACTTATCCGGGACACTACGGCTCAACTTATCCGCCCTTTGGGTGACTCACCCCTGACCTTCGGCTTACTGCCTTTGGCATAACTTACTCTCCACTGCACTGTGCCAATCTTCCCCTTCCCCCTGCCGTAGAAACCTCTCACTGCCTTCTCACCCAGTGTTACCTAAGCGGGAAAATTAACAGTGGCCGGTACCACTGGCGGAAAACGTGCATATGCCCTGCGTACGTGACGGTGTGTCCCTCTTAACATTCCGGTCTGGACGTGGGTTTAGAGAAGTGCATCTGTGTCTCATACAGTCATGCTGGTAAACGTTACGCCATAGGAGACGGGCAAACAAGCCGTCTGTGCCTCACAATGCCCTGTGCCAATATTGGTGGAATAATTATTGGCGCTAACTCGCAAGAACACGAATAACAGAAACGCATTATTTATCCAAACCCAATCGTAATCTCAAGTCATAACTTCTGCTGCACACGTGAATCCAACCATCAGTTCTCGTATACAATCCTAGTAGACCTTGAACCGCTCTTGATTTAATCAGATGATCTAGAACCAATTAGTACGCACCGATCTGCCGTCTGGTTGTGATCCACCGTATCATAGTGAATTACTGAATGCTCAAACGGAAATGACTCCTTGAAACTCGTTCGATAGCTTCTGACGGGCTACTAGTTACCTATACAAATTATCTTTATAAAGTGCCAGAACATTGTCATAGGGGTCCCTAGCCTTTCATAGAAAATCTAATTTAAATCATCCTATTAGCAGTAACCAATGCACATCAAACGAACTGCAGTCCTAGATATCATATAGCATGTCATATTTAAAATTATGCATTAACTGTTTACGTTCTTATCCCGTTGCAACTTTCCACAACTAACCATGTTTCTATACGATGACCTTCACCTACCGCACGCGCCCCAATTACGGCTAACCCACTGCCCCTGTTGTGGCTGCTCCTCGCGCCCTCTGGCGGCTCAACGCCCGCGTCGGGGACGACGAATGCCACGGCCGCCGGCCGGCGCCGCGTCGACAGCGTCAGT